TATATTTTTAGGATGTGGTGTTTGTTGCAATGTCTTGTCCATTGGTCACTGTGGGGTCAAGAGACAAGAGCTTGAAATTCTGTTTAACTTGCAGACCAAAGTTTAGAAAAACAACCAGTTTCCTTCCCAAGGTTAATGTTATAAGTCAGCCCTGGTTGTACAGTAAGACCTGAGCTGAATAAGAAGCTGAACTGGCATTTTCCTTTAAAGTAACATGTCTTCACTCAGGCGAATGTTATCTCAGGTTTTCCAACACCAGATTCACTTGTGAATTTAGGGAGGCAAAGGTGATTTTAAAATCTATATTTTTAATATTAAAGATGAAATTTAATAAAATGGCACTCATTTGCAAATTTAAAAAGATGATATTATAGTAGAAAAATTATGAGGTAACTAATTGTTTGCTATCTGAACTAACAATATAACTCAGATGCTTACCCTATAGTCTTTGTTTGACATAATTTATCGTGAAATTCATGTCGTTAGCCTAAGTGAAATGCACTCCTTCCTGATGTTACTTTGGGTGATGGGTACTTATTAGCATGACTTTTGTATTTATGACATGCTTTAATATCTATTAAGAATACATCAGCCCGGCCGGGCATGGCTCAGCAGTTAAGCGTCAACCTAGGATCCAGGCGATCAGGGTTCGATTCCCGGTCAGAGCACATGCCCGGGTTGTGGGCTGCAGCCGATCAATGACTCTCTCATCATTGATGTTTCTATCTCTCTCTCTCCCTCTCCTTTCCTCTCTCTGAAATCAATAAAGATATATTAAAAAAAAAAAATCAGTATTTTCTACAGACGTACTTACAACTTGCACCTTGATTTTAAACAGCAACGTACGTTCTGACGGCTGCCTCACTTGGGAAAATACTGGATTAGACAATTACATATTCTCTACATTTTACTCTGACCTCTCTAATACCATTTTGTTTTATTTAGTATATAAATACAAATGCCAATAACAAGTGCACCCACTGCACAAGTGTATTTGGTCCTTAATTGCCTCAGGATTTTAGGTGAGACGTTTCCAATTACATTAATTGAGAATTAAAGATTCACTGAACAAAACAGTAATGTTAAACAAGATTGCTTAACTTAGATAAAGCAAACTAACTGTTCTTCAGTCTTTTGCGTGTCTACTAATATTAAGTGGTTGCAAATACAAATACTAATTTCTCCTTAAGTCGACCTCGGGGCCTCTCCTTGAAACCCTGGCAGTGACTTGTCCTAAATCCACTCTGGGTTTTCACCTCCTGCTTTACTGAGGGAGCTTGGCTAAGCTTCCTCTAACCTCTTCTTTTACCCTCCAAAATTGCTTTCAGACCCTTTTACCTTTCTTTCCTATGCTTTGACTTGAGAAAGATGTATTTTTCTGTCTTTCAAGGGTAACAGTGGCTTTTCTGTGAGTTTCTGGAATCCATCCCTCAGCCTCCTCCAAGACCTTACCCCTCAAATAACTTTGCTCTATACTGTTCTAAAAACTCATCTTAAAATACATTTTTGACAGAAACAACAATGAGTCGCTTTAGGAGCTGTAAACGTTTTCTCCAGCACTTTCTTCAGTGCTGCTTGACTCTGGGGCCTGCGTGTGAGTCCCCGCCGCGCTGAGCCTGCTGGAGGCCGCCCGTCGGGGACGCGCCTAATCTCCGGCCACATCTGCGATTTTAAATATCTCGTGACTGATTTATGAGCAGACTCTCCCTGGAAAAGGCGATGTCCTGGGCGGTGAATGACATCATGATAAATTCTGATTCCCCTTCACGGCATGTACTCGAAATATATTGTTGTCAGCTGGGAGATGACATTTTAAATTTCCTAGATTCTGGATTTTTCTCTGTGAATCAGCTTTTAGTGTTCTCATGTGTTGTCTTTACGGAGAGTGTCCCTTTAAAATAGCTTAGGCTTTTATGTGGACCTTGCCATTTTAGGGCTCAAAGGTATTGGCAAATTTCATACCTGGCATTAGATGTCTTAGCATAATGATCGGAGGGTGCCGTTTGCAAGTTCCCACTTTTCTGCTCACAGCCTTTAGTATGGGTGTCACGTCTTTCCTGAAGGGGATCCAACATCCCTCACATTGATCTTCCATTTGGATTCTTGTCCAGCTCCTGCGGGGAAGTCACATGGGTGTCTCTCACTGTGCCCTGGCTCCAGCCTGGACCTGGCTGCCTATTTCTCTGGGCGCTTAAATGTTCTTCGGGTTGCCCATGACTCTCACTGCCCTTGAGAGAGCATGCTTGTCCCAGGCAGCTGACACACTTTTTTCATGGGGGACGAACCATTCATCTGCCCTCCGAAGAGTCCATCTCTTTCAGTGGATGTTCAAGAAAGTCCTCTCCTGACTGACTCTTGGAGACCTTACATCTCACATCTCCTTTTGGCTCTTGCTGAAGTGGGGCTCAGGTTTGTTCATGCTCAGGATGGCAATCTTCTCTGATGGCCACGTATGAATTTCTTAGATGTATCTTCAGCAGAAATGAAGCTGCACTGATAAATTACTAAATTTAAGGGGCATAAAAGTCACAATATTATGCCAAAGAGCATGCCAAAATATTCATTAAATTATACCAAAATATTTTAAATAAACTGCTTTGCTTCTATAATAGAAACCTTTAAAATCATGCCTTACCACTGTATGAAAGAAAAAAACTTGAAGCCCTCTCTCTGGCACCTCAAGGTGAATTTGGTGTTTGCCACATGGCCTGCATTTTAAATCAGAAATCTAAAACCTACCCCTCAACTGAAGTGACAACCCCTTAATGCAATAATGAAAATGCATATGAAAAGTGCTATTTCTTTATATAGATTTGGAGGAAAAAAAGGCTATTAGTCCACTAAATAAATGACTATCATATGAAATAGGATGTAAAAATTACATGTTTTTAAAAATATATATAAAACCTGGATTCAAATAAATATCATGTCGCAGGCGTCACTTTAGGCCACTTTCCCTCTTTTCTGTGCCAGGGAAAAAATCCAGTGTGAAATTTCCCCACAAATCCCAGTGTCAGCTGATAAAGAACCTACCTTGGAAAACCTCAAGTAGCACAGGGTGATGTGCTAAGTAATGCTGAGCCATTTTAAACAGCACATGAATGAAAGGGTCTGTTTTCCTGTGAGCTGTGGGCTCCCTGAAAACTCAGCATACCACCCCAAAACTGGAAGCGCCCCTCCAGCCTTCTTAGGCATGTTAGTTGGGGTGTGCTTGGCAGACTCTGATGCGCTTTCATGCTACTTACCAAATAAAACGTGACTGCTGGTGGGTGGTTTTCCCCAAGAAAACTTGCTGGCGCAGTAAATGCTATTGAAGTAAATAACTACCTAAATAGTATAAAAATGTTGAGCTTCGGTAGGTCACCAAGCCCTAGCTACTTAATTTCAGCCACAACAGCAACCAGCTGCTCAGTGGACAACTTTGTTACGAGGTGCTGGTGATTTAACAAGTTGGCCAAAGGAGTTGGAATGCGGCGTGAGAGATTTCATCTCGGTTGGGTTTTACTGGTATACTCTGGACCCTTTTGGCAGAATGACCCAACTTCTTGCCCTTGGCACTCAGAAACCCACAGAGAAGGCAGCGATCATTTTTCTATAGGAGTTTCTACGTTCTTCTGTGGTGGCTTGTGTATGATTCTATGAACATTTGCAAAAATGCTACCAGGAGTATCTATTTCCTACTTTTCAGTTTCTACACTGCTGCCCCAGATTGATTGATTGATTGATTGATTTTTAAATATATCTTTATTGATTTCAGAGAGAGGGAGAGAGAGAGAGACATCAGTGATGAGAGAGTCATCGATTGGCTGCCTCCCGCACACCCCCTGCCAGAGATCAAGCATGTTCCCTGACCGGGAATCGAATCGTGACCTCCTGGTTCATAGTTCAATGCCCAACTGCTGAGCCACTCTGGCCGGGCCAGATTTATTTTTAATAGCATTTTAGATCTTTTGGACAATGTCATTTTAAAAGTTTTAAATTTATTTCTTTATTGTTGACAGTATTACAGATGCCCCCCATTTCCCCCCTTTGGCCCTTCTCCCCCAGCCCTCACCCCACAATGTCATTTTATCCTTAGACTATGTAAAAATTAATCTTATGTAATAACCAATTTAGTTGGATTACAAGAATGTGGCAGTGAGCCCCGTGATATATCATCTACCTTACAGAATGGAGATGGCAGTGGCTGGGAGCCCAGAGAACGTGGTTGGGTGGTTTTGGACACAAACACCACCTAGTTGAGTAGTTTTGGACAATCACTTATCTTCCCAATATTTTTTTTCTCTCCAAGTTCTAACACTCCATGATGGTCATCTTGGTATTTTAGGCATTTCCTAAATGTAAATGAAAGTATGCCATTTATTTGTGAGATTAGTAAACATTCACAACTCACCAAATAACAAAAAGAAATGAAAGGCTGAAACAAGCTTAGGTTTGCATGGAAGTGGGAAGTTATTAATGTCACTTCTCTTTCTTTCCCACCCCCAGCCATCTCTTATATAGCTGCTTGGCTAAGAAAATAGATGTCATCTAGTAAGTGTTTACATCTTGCAGAACATTGAGTTAAATACGGAGGAGTCAGCAGTCAAGGGGGGGGAAATGTCTGATTTCATGGGGATTATGGTTGATCAGAGAAGGTGGAAAATTAGACAAATAATCACAATAGTATGCAGCGAGGGCTATGACATAATACCATGGTTGCCTTGCAAATTCTTAATTCTAAATAAGGCCTCGTTTCTACATATCATGGAGCATGTGTGATCCAGATGCACTATGGGAACATCCACTCCTTAGTGTAGTTTTCAGATTTCCTCTAGATGCTCACCAAAGTGACTGCTTCTCACTGCACGCAGCCTTCCTTCCCGGGGACCCTGGGTCCGCCTGAGAAGACAGCTGAAACGAACCCATGGACAACTGGGGGGCCGAGGGCTGGTGAAACTCCCAGAAGAGCAGCAACGCGGAATCACTCTCACTTGCACCTGCTGTCTTCCCTCCCTCAGGACATCTGCTTGGCCTGTCCCATGACGATTCCAAATTCTGTGAAGAGAACTTTGGCTCCACGGAAGACAAGCGCTTAATGTCCTCCATCCTGACCAGCATCGACGCCTCCAAGCCCTGGTCCAAATGCGCCTCGGCCACCATCACAGAATTCCTGGACGATGGCCACGGTAGGTACTGTCAAGGACGACAGGGACTCGAAACCAGACCTGGGGGTTATTACGAGCTTTCCTTCGTCAAATCCTCAGGCCATCCCCCCGCCCTCTGAGACAGCGGGGGTTCAGATAGTGTGGGAGAAAGGATCGAGGGGGCCGTCTGTTGGGGTACCATGCCAGCGTCCTTGGTGGCATATAGGGGTGATATTTTTGCTTTCGAATTGAAAAGTTCCAGAGAGCAGCAGTGTGGGAGACCACACAGAAGGCCTAGCTAGTGGCCTGAAAGCCTGGCTTCTGTTCCTCCCTCACCACCAGCTTCCTGTGAGGAGCTGGCAGGCGTCTTGTATCCCTGCTATTAGCACCACTGGCTGAATTATTTGTTGCATGCCTGTCACAGGGGTGTGGTCCAGATGGAGGTGACAGTTCTCTCAGATCCTCTTTATGGCTGCAGAAAGCCAGGAAAGGAAGCTCTTTAGATTTGCTTTCTCTGGAAGGATTTGGTTTCATCCAGACGGCAGATCCTCCTGGAAGTGGGGTGAAAACTGAGGAACAGAAATAGAAAATCAATCTGAACCGTGGGAAAATCCTTGGAGAACTTCAAAAGAAAATCTTTGGCTTTCTCACCCAGATCCAGTTCAAGAGCACGGCACACTTTATTAAATTCTGTAAATCTAGGATTAGTGAAGTATATTAAAGTACTAAAGAAGTCACATTTTTAAGAAATAATACATCCTGACCCATAAGTAATCTTTGAAACAAGTGGTTGCAAATTTCCTAGCGTTCCTTATTATTTTAAAATACTAGAAACACTGGAGAGTAGACACGTTAGAGTTGAAAGAGAACTTCAGAGACCACTTAGTTCAAGTTTCTCATTTTACAGAAATGGGCATAGTCTCATTTTGTTGTTTTGGTTTTTTTCTCTTAAAATTTGTCTCTTTGTAAAACTGGTGGTTGAATTGAATATGACAAATTCCTGAGCAGAATAATTGCCCATAAATTTAACTTACAATATATGGTTCAAAGTTGGGTAAAGAGAATCTGTGATGACTGTTTTTTCCTAGTTCCACAAAGTTTATGGCTTGATATTTTTGTAATTTCTTAGTGAGCTTGCCATCTTCAGCTTTGGCTCCATAATGTCAAAACAATTAAAATTTAATTTGTTTCAGACAAAAAGAACTGCTCCATAGTTCTTTGGTATCTTGTAGGCAGACTCTGTTCATTAACTCATTTTTTGCTCTGTTAGTGGAAATGCTTTATCGACTTAGGACTTTTAAAATTTCCTATTCCTAAATAAAATCCTTGCCCAACTAGGTTTAAAATTTTCCTCAGTACAAAATACATGTTCTTTTTAACTGAAAGGACATCTCAATATCTCAAAGATTTAGAGACAATACTAAGAATCAATGAACTAGGCTTTGCCTTTATTTAGACTAATAATAAAGTGATAATTTTCTATTTAGCTCAGTTTACAATGTTGATAAACTCCCAAAATGAATGTTTACTTAATTATCTGCCTGTCTGCATGGATCAAGTTAATATCTAGTAAAGTCCCCCTTGGGTGAGATCTTACTCTCTACTGTTAATATTGCTTTTGCTGGGGCTTTTTGAGGCTTTCTGAAAATGAAATCACATTAATATTTTATTTCAGCATCACACGTTACACATTCCAAAAGGTTGAGCTAAACTTTGAATCACTAAATGAGCGGATTTGGTTGCTAAGGCAGCAAATACTTATGGCTAAAATGGGACCAAATTTTTTCTTTCCTGTGCAAGTATTAGGTCAGTTAATTACAATGCTGTGCAGAATTTTGTTTCTCATTGCCATAATTTTGGAACGATTCATTTATTTCATGTTTGTGGAATCCATGATCTTACTTTCTGTGCAGTAAATATGCTCTTAGTATCGCCTTCATTTCTTAACGTTATTTCTGTATTTAAGAGTCCATGCTCAGATTTGTTAAATTTTTGCAACAAACGTACATATTTTATATGTATCACTCTATGTCTATTCCAAAGATTCAAAAGAACATAGTTTTAGCAGAAATAGATCTAATTCACTTACAGTGATAAAATCTTATCAGAATTTCTCATATATATGTTAAATAAGTAAATTCAGTTACCTAAATTGAATTTGGACAGCAAATTCTCTTAGTTGATTTATTAATTCATTTCCTCAAACCTAGACTCTCTCTTTTGAATATATTGTATTTTTTTGAATATATTGAATACTGTCTTGTATTTTAACAACCACCACCACCACCACCTTTATCAGTAGCCAGAATGAATGAAGTAATTTCAGGATAAGGGAAAACAATGAAAGGCCCTATGATACCATGGCAAAGCTCAATTATGTTCATTTCAAAATAGCATGCACAGCCGTGCTCTCTGTAGTATTATCACTTAAATGTGAATTCAAATAATATATTGCAGCCGGGAAAACTGACTTAAGTGAAAGTGTGGCAGTAGGAACGAGTAAATGCAGTTTCCAGATGGTTGAGGTTCTGACATTTATACTTCAGAGCTTAGGAGAGAACCAAGAAGAAAGTCCAAGTCCAAGGTGATGGGCAAACAAGCAAATACGTCTTTGTCAGAAGGCTGAACTGGTACCGTGAAACCATATCATAGAGCCCTTTACTCACAGAGAGAGAGCTGCTCAGGATTCCATCAAGACCTTTATTCATATTTAGTAACAGTAATCTACTAGTTTTTTGTTCTAATTTTCTATGCCGCCAATAATTTTAAGCGATAATATAATCATGGCAGGGGTGGGGTGCACTTCAGACAGGTAAACTGGGAGCAAGAATTGATGTCATTTGACAATAAGAGAGAAACCAGAAAAGCCGAAAGCTGTAGCCCTAACATATTAAAAGCTTAGAAGTCTGGCACCATTTTCAAAAGGTCAAAAACCCTATCCTATCAGCACGATCTGTGAAGGTACCTCTATATTTTAGCATGATGCAAAAATCGATGCTCCTTTGTTTTAGGAAGATTAAACTGCGACACCAATATAAAGGCTGCAAAGCAATTGCCATTTGTAAGTAGCTACCCTCACAAAATGTATATAATTATTAGATAGTACCTAAAGAATTTATTATATGGAAAAATCTATTTATGGATAAAAATAGCTCATCCGTCCCCCTCCCATCTCCAGCTCTGCTGGAGAAATGAGGTCTTAGAGTATGATTAAATTCAAATCGTTTGATTTGTTTTTAAAATTATTAGCCATAAGTAGGTGGACATTTATAGCACTCAACCACTGCCAAATTTAAATTCATTAATACTGAGTGTTTCCTGATTTAGTTCCAACAAGAACTATGTAGCAATTAGGTTATAGTTGTGAAGTCAATATGCACACTCGAGAATAACTGTGCCCACACATTTCTGATTCAGAAAAAGAGAAACCATGTCTCACGGGGACTCCCAGCCCCCGCCAGCCTGGCCAAGATACTTGTAGACATTCTGCAGTGTTTATACAAGTTAGCTCCAGGCAAGCTGGCTACGAGTAGGGTCCTCAAAAATAAAGGGAAGCACTGGCAGAGAAATTGTGCAGTGAAAGCAGGTTATTGAATTTCCTCTCTTAAGTATTCAGGAACCTTGAAGCCAAGAAACGATAGCTGTGCCCCATTGTATCCCTAAGTTGCGGTGTCAGGCGATGAGAAAGGCCACCGCCCAAGTAGGTACAGCTCCAGTACCCATGACACAGGCTGCTAAGGAAAACCTATCGACGGCTTTGAAAAATTAACATGGAGCATATTTAAAGGTATGAATTTACAGCCACTTACTGAACACAGGACTTTGGAGATAAAATGGTATTAGAAAATCAATTCTCTAAGTATGGGCTATAAAGCTAGTAATATGATCTTAATATTCAATGTCTTTTCATCTCGCTCGATCAGAATGTATTAGCATAAAGCTGTTCATAACATCCTAATTATATTTTTAACATCTAGTGCATCTGTGCTTTTATTATTTATTTATTTAGGATTTTTTTTTTATTTTTAGGTTCTTTATTTATTTAAGCGTAGTTGGTATGCAAGATTATGTTAGTTTTAGGTGTACGATATAATGATTCCGCGTTCGTATACCTTTCAATGTGATCACCCCGCTAAGTCTACTAGACTTAACATTCAGTTTTTAAGGTAGGCCTCGTCGATTCAAAGCCCATTATGGTAGGATTTGATTTTCACCATAACTGTGTCCTTTGTTCGAGTCTGCAAATAAGACATCTATTTTAAGTCCATGGTGACTTCTATGTTTAAAAAGCTAGGCTTCATCCTTTCACAGGGAGAATTTTTAATCTAATTTCCTTGGCATTAATCTGCTTAACAGTGTCCCTAGTGCTTCTAACAGTTTCCCAGCCCCTCGCTGACTGTTGGTCAGCAACCACTATCTGGGCTTCCTCTGTGCCCTCACTAGTTTACCTGCCACTGAGCCCATAACGGGTCCGTCTCTCTTTTAATGTCAAACATTCAAATAAAGACTCAAAAGAAGAGTTGTAGGGCCAGGGAGATGCAGACAAGAAGCAAAGGGGAGGGTCTGCAGTGTTGTTAGGCTCCTTCGAATGAGTTTTATTAGGAATATTAACTAATTTCTCTGAGGCCATGGATATTTGGGGCAATGCTCAATTTCATTCCTGTATCCTGAAAAGGAAAACAGAATGACTACAGTGTTAGAAATAGGGAAGAAAAACCGAAAAGAACAGAGAGCAACCAACCTTAGTTCAGTGATTTCCATTAACTGTTAATATGAAAGACCAGTCGCACTGGAAGTCAGATATAAAAAACCCCAAAGTTTTTCCTGTTCCATCTCCTAGAGGCTTGGCATGCCTCCATCACCCCGTGGTGTGCCTCGTGGCCATGGAGAGACCATTCTTTATTTCTCCTTCGCAAATCACTGCATTTTACTTTTCAGTTTTTTTACCTTCCTGGTAGCATTTACCTTAACATGGGGAGTAAAACAAGTACACAGTACACAGGCACTTCTATTGCCTTTCTCTTAGAAACCACCCATTTATATGCAGCAAATGTTAAAACAAAAGGAAGGAAGGAAGGAGCGAGGCAGAGAACGGAGGGAGAGAAGAGGCAGCTTGGCAGCTTGTGCGGCACAGCGAACAGAAAAGGTTGGCAGCGAAGCCCGGATAGGGCTTCAGCCGAGGGCAAATTAAAAAACACACGAAGTAGATATGAAAACGCGGCTGAGAATAAAAGCGAAGGAGAGTCGGCAGTAGACCGGGTACTTTTGGAGTCAACGTGAATGGCACTGAATGATGGATTCATTTCCTCTTTCCCACCTCCCCCAACATGTACACAATTTTTAAACTGGAAAACCTATATCCAATCCACTAGGACTGAGATTAAAATAATTTATACTGCAAGATTCAGAAGAAGGCATTTTATCTATTTTTTTTGTTTTTTTGTTACTGTTCCGTGGCACAAGTCTGCCGTTTGGTAGAGATGCCTGCACCTCGTTTACACCAAAAGGACACGATTCAACAAATAGATGAAATCGAAAGATTATATATTTCAGATTAAAAAGAAACAGATGCAGCGACAAATCCTAATGCTGAACACATCAGAGTAATACATTAATGGCAGTTCTGAAATGAATCATTTAAGCAAGAAAAGGTCATCTCCAGGTGACCTCTAAGGGAAGACCATGCAGCCGAGATGCTGAATTTTTAATAGCAAAGCATATGTGTTTTTCATTTTTCAAACTTGTCTTTGGCTATTAAGCTCCATAAAGGAGGTGCCACCTCTTGCCCTCACCTGTTCGTAAGCTGATTTCAAACCGTTCGCATTACGCATTTCTTCTCACTCGTCAGCTACTAGTGAAGTAGAAAGGATGTCGGTGAGTGCGTGTCCATAGGGAGGGGGAGAGTGATTTGGCTGGAGACATACCAGCCGGTCCCATGCCACATGCACACACGCACTTTCTCTCTCTCTCTCTCTCTCTCTCTTCCCAGCTAATATTTAGTTACCCAGCCGTATGGCCTGTGCTTTTCAGTAAAGTTAAAGTGCTTTTGAAAACAGCACATCTGAAGCGCTGGAAGGCATTCTTCTGTCCCGGAGGTTTGTGGACAGGGCTGTCCCCCAGCCATCTGCGGAGCGCTCCTGGCTCACACAGTGCTCTCTGCGTAGCAGTGAAGACCAGGCTTCCCAGGGGGTCCCGAAATGCCCAGCCTCACCCTGTCCTCTAAACAAAGCTTAGGGAGCTTTTACTACCATTCTTTCCTCTTGACTTGATGTTGATATTTTTTCTTTTAACTCGGTGTTTTTCTCCCAAAGTTCTCTTTGGCTGGATACTTATTTTTAATGCTTTTGCTGGCTCGCCTTAAGAAGTTTTACCTCTTCAAACGCTCTGGCTTGGGAGTTAAATAGGAATTTTGCTCTTTACTCATTTTCATATAATGCCTCCGTTGCAGATTGACAAATTCTAGGGTTTTCGCTTTGAAGAAATTTGAACGTAGTAGTTGTAAAAACGTTTGCAGTATATTCAAAATGTGCTGAATAGTTCGTTTCTCAGTGGAAAATAGGATTTAAATGTGATTTTCCTTTGTTGAATAAAATAATAACTCCAATACATGTAAATGGTTGTTAACTACGTTGGGCATAGTAGCAACTCTCATTGTCTTGTATTTTTCTCGTGGCCTCTTATATCTTTTTTAGCTAATTTTACCCTCATAGTGTCACAGTGAAAAGAGAAACATTTCACAGAGCTTGAAAATAAATTAGGGAGAGGTTAACTAAGTTGGCCAAGAACACTCAGCCCTTAGTGTTTTGCCAGAATTAGACTTTAGACCTGGTGTTTCTACCATTAGGCACAATACCCAGCATTTAAAGGATCCATACACACGTTTACCCTTCAGCAATAAAACAAGAAAAATCTCTCCACGTGCAAAGCAGAAGTAAGACGGTAAGTGACCAGCAGGGCAGGCTCTGATCATAAAACCCTAATAGCTACTTGACCTTGGGTCAGTGATCTATCTTGATGTTCCTCAGCATCCTTAGCTGTAAAATAAAGAAAACAATAGTGTCTGCTTGGTAGAGTTCTCATGAGGATTAAGTAAACTAGTACTTTTAAATAACTGAGAATAGTGTAAGTGGGTAAGAAATAGTTCTTATTTTTAGTACTCTCAATCATCAGCAGGTAAACCCTAAAATCAAGTAGACAAAAAAATGCAGGAAGTGTTGGGCAGTGCGCACGCTCCCGTGATGGGGGAAAAGTAATGATAGTAACTCACCCAGCAGGGATCCTTGGGGAGGCTGCGTGCCGGGAGGTGACTGCGTCGTTCACGTGGAGGGCTGGCTCCTGTTGGTCCCCAGCTCACTGTACACTCCCCATGTTACTCCGCAATGAGGGCACCGACTTGTTGGGGGCAGACACACGCCAAACACCCAACAAGTACACATTGAAAACTGGCACAAAGGGGAGAAAAGGGAGGGGAAGAGTAGAAAGACGGGCCTCGGCCCAAATCATCAACGATGATTTCTCTTTCTCCCAACCCTCCTTTGTTCTGTGACTCTTGAAAGCTCCTTATTAAAATTCTTATCAGCCTGGGAGAACTGCTTTCCTTAGTCTATTTCTTTCACTTTATTGGGAGGCCCTGAGGGACGAATCTGGGTCACTTCTTCGGTTTTCCCGATACCTAGGATGTTTGCTAGCTCACTGTAGGTGCTAAGCAAATCCGCCGGGCAGCATACCCACTGTCGTTTTCAGTGAGTGCTAGAACGAATGCGGTGTCACCTTGTTTGTTATTTATGGAGTTAATGGGAGGGGGACATGGAGAGGCACATGAGGAAGAGGTGAGTTGAAAGTGGAGAGTGGGGTATAAATAGAGTGCCAAGGACACACAGCTTCTCAGTGTTGTAAATGCTTATATATTGCTGCTGTTACGTCCATTATTTTATTTCCCCTCCGTCTATCCCAGTTTCTTTTAGTCCCTCAGCACAATGGCTGTTTTCACAACTGATTATTATAAAATGTTTTTATTCAACCATGCCACTGCCATCCTTATAGACACCCCAGAGCTAACACTTTAACCCACTGAAAATCCTGGACGGTGTGAGCGCAGGGAGGCACCCAGCCTCGCCCCCCTCCCCCCCCATGGAGTCCCTTCTCAGGGGCATCGGGCTTCAGCACAAGCTGGAGCTCTTCCCCTTGAGGCCCTTGCCCTCAGGGACTGAAACCTAAACACGGAACAGTGGCCCATCTCGGTTCTTCTTTCAGGTAACTGTTTGCTAGACCTGCCTCGCAAGCAGATCCTGGGCCCCGAGGAGCTCCCCGGACAGACCTACGATGCCACCCAGCAGTGCAACCTGACCTTCGGGCCCGAGTACTCCGTGTGCCCGGGCATGGACGTGTGCGCGCGCCTCTGGTGCGCCGTGGTGCGCCAGGGCCAGATGGTGTGCCTCACCAAGAAGCTGCCCGCCGTGGAAGGCACGCCCTGCGGCAAGGGCAGGGTCTGCCTGCAGGGCAAGTGCGTGGACAAAACCAAGAAAAAGTACTATTCCGTAAGTGATCTTCCGGCACGCGTGCCTGGAGGCCCGGGCCTGCAGTACATTCCTGTGACATGTGTGGGGACTGTCACCACAAGGCTTTATTTCCGAGTTAAAATATTTTCTCTTGAGGGATCTGTTTACGGCTTCCCCCTTTAAGCGCAGGGGCCACCTCCAGTCATCAGAAACCGGAGGAAATGCAGACCCTAGGTGCTCTTTCCGGGGCATGTCCTGGGACAGATCCACAGCCCAGAGTCTCTCTGCTTGAGACCCCAGTAGGGCCCACTTTTTGGAAGTTTACTTTCAGACTGCTCTTCGGAGACTGCATTTATTTGAATTCGTTAAGGAAATAGCAGTAGAGCTGACACATGCTCCTCACACATACTGGGTGAGCTCCAAAACGGTCATGTTTCCCCTCACAGCAAGTTAATCTAACTTTAGGAGCTAAAGTAACCCACGCCTGCTGCGGGGACACACCGCCCGCCCCACCCCTGTGGTCCACTTTCATAGCAGCGACTGCCACCTTCATTTTCAAGGCCCAAACAAAACTTCTGTTTCTCACTCACAAAATTTTCAAAGTCCCTAGAGCAGCGATTTTCAACCGTTTTCATCTCATGGCACACATAAACTACTAAAATTCTGTGGCACACCAAAAAAAAAAT